ATATATATTTTATCAGTTTTCACATTCTCTAAGAATTCATTTATACATTAAACTTACCACATGGAGGCGATTTTCCAGATTGGAAATTGAACGTTCATCATCAATAGCACGTTCTTTACTTTGTAAATCACTTACATCTTTAAGACGCATTTTAACCACTTCTTTTTCAAGCCGAAATATCTGAACATCAAGCTCGTTCAACTAAAATGGTAATATGGAATATTTAAATCAAGTAAATAATAATAATAATTAGTATCAGTTTTGTAAGATATATAATAAAAAAAATATTCTCTCTCTGTAAGTACAGTAATTCAGTGTTAATCAAATAACCTATTATTCAATTTTTGCTCATGTGTATTCTTAAAAAACATAAAAAGCAGATAATATGTGAAAGATCAGTTATATGAAAGGTCATTTTAATGCTACATTAAATTATTCAAATATTATAATCTGTCTTTTTAATTAAAACTCAAAACAATATTAGGAGTTGTTTCAAAATCATTTTTAAATAATCAAAATAATAATTAAAAAACTTCAACACTTTTTTCTGTTGATTGTTCTCATATAACTGCTCCTAATTCTTCACTCAAATTTATTTCCTACCACTAACTACAATTTCATTCAAACCTGCCCCTTCTCTCGTTTAATTGCAGCATCAATATGTGAATGAACAGAGAGATCATGAGAAATAGCCTTTTCTTGTTTAATATCACGCAGTTCATTTCCAGTAGATGTTGCAATAGCTAAATTCATAAGTATTTCATGTTTTTCCTTTTCTAATTTTTCAATCATATCCCTGAAACAAAATATAAAATAATATTGCTGAGTACTTGTACTTGCTGAGTACAACTAATATTGCTGATCAGTACTTTTTTGTTCATCTTTTAACAGTACCTGATCTAATGTGTTATAAGTAAATGTATTTAGGAGATCAGTGTATAATTAAATTTAAATAAGTTTCAACCAAGAAAAGACACACAACCTTGTTATACTTTCATATATTTACCATGAGAAATATATTTATTGAAATATATTGAATATGTGATTCCATAATTTAATGTAATAAATAATGAGTGAAGTACGTTAAATAAAACATTTTTTAATTTCAATAATTTTTCCTCACAAAAACCAACAATAATCTAAATGTTTTATTCTTTCAAAATTGTTTGCCTTAGATTCAACCAAACATTATGTCAGTGCAATTCAGACATTTCAGTAATTCAAAAAATTTCTTAAGATTTTAGCATTATTTTGCCCATTTATATTAAACAGAAACAAAAATATTGGTTCATTGTATTCACCAAATTGTTTGTTAACTTGTGAAGCAGAAAACAAGTTATAAAAAATTCAGTGACAAGTTGAAAATAGTATAACCAAGCATGCAAACATTATGAAAATTTACAAAAAACATCTTCAATAACCAATATTTTTACTGTCACCTTTATTGAATTAAGTCATGCAATATGTTCTGTAATCAAGAACAACAAAATTAAAATTGCCTATATCTAACTCACACATTTTTCATAGTTATTATTAGTTTTACTAAAGGTTGTTTTTTCTCAAGGTTGTTTTGGTGTCTCTAATCCTCTGGAAATTCAGGAAACTAATCCATCAAGCCAAATTATAACTTCCAGATTTGAGAAAGTTACTTAATTTGCAGCTGACCCAGTAGAATGACAAATAATAGCAGATAGGCACATTCAATGCATTAAAAACTAATTGATTTTGATTGAGCATTAGAGATTCTCCTTTAAAGTTGAATATATTCCCCAGAGATTGAAAAGATATATTGTTCGCCAAGAATAAATTATTTTTTTGTGATGAATTCAATTCCAAATATCATTTTAATTCACTGAACCTGGCAATGATTTTGCCCTTACTCTGAAAGCACTGTTTAATACAAAATTAGTTCATACATTAAGATAATGGAGTACTGTTACTGAGAATTTTCAAACTACGGTAAGTTTCTTCTCTAGCATGGTGGAATAAACAGGGAACATGGATCCACTTATATAATACTCAAGTTAAAAGGTAAGAGGGAGAACAAGAGATGAAATTGTTTGACTCTTGATTTGATAATAATTTTAGGATGATTCATCTATGTTCTTTGGATCCTGGAGATGGGAATGGGTAGGTAAGATGCAAGGTCCAAAGCCCATTTTACATAGTGCAGCTCTATGATAGACCTGGAAGTGATCATGGGAAACATACAAACCAGAGATCAGAGCAATAGGCTTATGAATTTGATTCTAGGTGGTGCCATAAACTCACTGATGAAAGCACATCAGGCAAGTTTATGGCAGAGAACCCAGTACCTCCCTGTCATATGAAGAAAAGTTTATGTGCAAACAAAAAATTGAGCCATCTGATACGTACAAATTCATGTTTAATTTGTCATTCATAAGTATAAAAACTTAGGGTTTAAATTATAAGAAAATATTTCAAATCTGATGAGCATTTAATTAATTTTTTCACTGTAAAAATGTACAGCAAAAATGTTAGTTTTAAAAATCAGTCGTACTAAATGTCCAAATTTCTACATTACTTTATGAAAACATATCATCATTATTATTGTGGACTAAATAGGCATACAGTGGGTGAAGTTCGTAATTTGGGTATCATCCCCCCTTCCCTTCCGTCCGGGATTGCAATACATTTGTGAGCAAAGGACGAACCTCTGCTTTTTTATAACAGCCGAGGACGTAATGGAGTAGGTTTGTCTCTCCGTTTCCATGATGCGGTACTGTCTTTGGAGGCGAGACAGTTCCGCCTCCGCCATCTCCGCCAACTCCGTCTCATCAGGGACCGGTAAAACGAGTTTCTTCGCCATCTTGGTAGCTTATTTCTCACGATTTCGCCACAAAAAAATCTTGGCACAAACGGCACTGCAACAAAATATGTTCTGACGCGAACAGCAATTTTTTATTGAGCTACATCTGAGAGCATTGCAACTCAACAACTATAGGGAACTCAGTGAGGAAGTTTACTCTGGTTGCTATGGCACCGCTTGAGGATGGTTGCGCCTGAAAACCTCATTTATTCGATGTTTGCGTCATGACGAGAAATGACATGAAGGGGGATATATAAACTTGCACGTTGGCTTGGCTTCCTCAATTTAAGATGATCGATTTTCTTTCACACTACTTGATTCGATGGCTTGTACCTACTACATAATGGAATGTTTCAATGAACAAGACCTAAATCTTGAAATTGCTCAAAAGCTTGAAAGATCTAAAACTTAGTTTCGTATTTGAAGTCGCATTTTTTACCGATTTCAAGACTTACTCAAGAGATTACACGGAATACAGTATCATAAAGGAGGGAAATTAACGTTGGATTCACTGATGTCTAAACAGACCAGGAACTTTGGAACAAGCAGTTCCAATCTCGATTTTATCTGATATATTATCTCGTTTACTAGATATTCTCTCTCCCTCCCCTCTCTTACTTACAAGTCCACAGCTAGTCTAGGTTATATTCGAGTTAGTTCAGGAGATTCACTCGATCTGGTTGGTATTGGCATGCGTCTTGGACATACGGTGCCAGGCTCTCTGGTATAACAGCAATTTGGCGATCCCTCCTGCTTTATATACTCTCTGCCAAAGCTTTGTCATAAGAAAATCAATAATTCAAAATTAACCAGGTAAATATTTAAGCGGGAGGATAACTACTCCACTATTTCTAGCTTAGAGTCCACTCGCACTCCTATCGTTTAATTTCATGAAAATGTCATATTTTTAAGACAAAACTTATTTTTAGGCAGATTATGTTGAGTGGCGAAAATTTTTTACTACTTCTATTTCAATGATAAACGTCTAAGAATAATATTCTCCATAATAAAATCTTAAGACGGCCTAAAATAACCATTTGAAATTCTTTCATCTCATTCAATGTTAAAGTGAAATATTAATTTCGTATTTGTTTCTATCGTTGAAGTCCTCGGTTCTCTTTGCTTCGCCTTTTGCGTTTGACGTACGCAATTTAGGATTGTTTTATGTTATTCACGTAAGTACACACTTTGGTTCACAGCAATAAACCATCTAAATACACGACTGAGTACGCAGTCATATCCTCAGGTCAGTGGCAGCTTATAGGGTAGTGCCAGTGTACCATGGCTCCACCAACAAAAAGGAAGGAAAATAAAATTTTCACACAATGTGTGTATAAAATATCGTTTCTTCAAAATATTTTTCTTTATAGTGATTTATTTGAACGAGCGCTTAATTATTCGATTCTCTACCAATACTCTCTCAAGACAAACAGAATTCCATACCGGCCACCACTGTTTCAGGAGTTTAAATAGTGGGAGCGGTAATTTGGGTTTAGATTTTAGCATTGCTTTTGTTTTGATGGCTCGTTGCTTCAGAACTGTATTCTTCCGAATAGTTTAAGACGAATTTATCTTTAATATTGTTTTGGAACACACAATACCCTCCGCTATAAATATCCACTTCGCAGATGACTTAGAGCTCCAGTAAGGGTTTGCAGGGTCACAGAGCAGCCCTATCGGAAACCACATTAGGAAATAGTAATAATTGGGTCTAGGATGGGTGTTAAGCAGAGAAGGATTTTTTTCAACAATTTCAAATATGATAGTTTGAGGCGGGAGTTTAGGATAAGGGTAATTAGGTCAATTGCGTTTCTGGTTAGGTTCTTTAGTTGGGATGGGGAGACTCCATTGGGTCCTGGAGTCTTAGTGCAATCAATCGTTTGTAGTGTTTGTCTCAGTTTTACGTTGTTTGTCGTCCAGGTTTGTTGTTGTTGTTGTTGGTGGGGGGTATTGAAGGAGTCTTGAGCTAATTGAGGATGACATTGTCGGGTATTGGAATATTGGGAGGAAGGAAGCGTATGACAAGGAAATGGGCGAGGAGTAATTATTTGGGAATCAAAGGTTGGGGTGTTGTTGATTAGGATGGTGGATATCCAGGAGGGGGAATGGCACTGCATTAATTACTTTGTGTATATTGTCGGGGCTGTGGTTGTCTATTAGTAAGGCACCATATGTTTGTGTCTCGTGTCATCGGAGTAGAGTGCGTATCGTCTTTGGATTTGCTTTAGTGATTTCTTCTCGTCTATATTTGTAATTGTGTCGTTGTATTCGTCTTTTTTGTCCGATCATTGTTAGTATTTTGTCAGGAACGGTGGGATGTGGATTTTTGGAGAAGGTGGTGCTTTTCTGTATGATGGATCTTGTGGGTGATGTGAGCTATGGATTTGTCAATGGTTTGGATGCTATTAATTTCTGTGAGTATGTGGATTTTCTTTGATAACCAGTGTTTGTAAGATTTCCAGTCAGTCTTGGGAGAGGATGGTGGGTTGGGGAGTACATAGTTAGAGTTTGTGGAACATGATATGCAATAGGGAGGTAGTCGGAAAAATCATAATTCGAATAAGGGATAGTGATCTGGAGTTGTGAGGAGTGTAATGCGATGACTATCTTTCAAATATAGCTAATCTTTCGATTTTTAAATATATTTTTAAAATTTATTTATTTATTTTATATATTTATTTATGTTAAAATTTTACTTACCTTTCATCTATTTATAGTTAAAATGACGAGAAAGAATTCTGGAACTCAAGCAAACGTGCGCAGATAATCTTTTCCCCCTTACGTCACATACTGTTTTTACTGTTTTTTGACTGAATAAATCTAAATCTAAAATGTCTAGTATGTCGTGGGGATTGTCGTTGTTGTTGTGGGTAGGTTCGGGTGGAGCTTCCAAATGGATGTGGGGGTTTCTGTCTAAGACGTTTTCCAGTCGTAGTCCTGAAGTGTTGCTAGTTACGCAGCCCCATGTTGATTTGCTATTGACGTCTCCGGCGATAATAAATGGGTAGGGGAGGTTGTTGAGGATATCGAGGTTGGAGTCGAGTAATGGAATTCTAGGTTTCTTGTAGCAGGAGATTATTATGATCGGGGTTGAAGTGGTTTCGATGATGATAGCAGTGCACTCAAGGGCTGTTGTTTGGGAGAGTGGGTATGGGTATGAGGGATAGAGCGTCGCGTAAGGATTGCCGTGCCGCCATGTAGGTCTCAAGTTGTGTCTGATCGGGTAGTTATGTAATTAGGGATGGAGAAGAATCTGTCAGGTGGCAGCCACGTCTCTTGTAGTAACATAATTCTGATGGAGTAGTCATAGAGGAATAGGGCAAGGATACATTTCTTTCGGGTTACCCGCCTCCCGCATTCCATGACGTCAGGGATAGGATTGCTTTGAACGATGTTTGGGATGAATCAACTCAATGAGGGCCGTGAGGGAGGGGGAGTTATTGATAAGGAGATACTTCACCCCTTACTATAACTTGAAATAATCAAACAAATCATTAAACTAAATTGTTTTATATATTTATCGTCTGGACTCGGCAACATGTGTGAAGAGCTTCTTTACTTACCAATTCATAAAATTATTGATAAAATTGACTGATATATTTATTCGTTTTTAATTTCTCGCACTTATTTGGCTGGAAGAGAAATGTAATCGTGCGCCGGAAAATGGTGAATTTTTGGCAGAAAAACTTTTGCTGCCTGGCCCTGGTAACGATACATCCTGTGGTAATATATAGTAAATTACTTCCTCTTACACGTGGTGTAGTCAGACTCCATGGTTTGTGGGTTCTCGGCACCGAAAACTCGATTGACGGCGAAACGTGTCTGTCGGTTTCTGGTCAACATACGCGCCTAAACACCCTCGGTGGCTCGTTGGTCAGCGCGCTCGCTTTCCGCAGCGTAATCCCGCGTTCGATTACCGGACGGGGCAAAAATTAATTGTGCGCTTTCCTTGCAATACCCCCGAATCTGTTGCTGTGTGACGGTTAGAAAGCTCACTTCTCAGGTTGAGAAGATCAGAAATACAGTTTGGGATGGCTATGTGCAAACCACACGTACCCCTTAATCTATGGCTGCAAGGCCGGGACGCTGCTGATAGGACTTAGCTCGTTAAGAGCTGTTGTACCAAAGTACATACATACTATCGTGTAAACCCTTCAGCCGATTTTCTCCAAAACTGATATTCCTCGATCGATCTGAACACACTCGAGGCTTTAGGAGTTCCAACAGGATATTCTGACATTACAGGAAGCCTCAAAAACATTTTCAAAATTTTCTCAAAAACAGCACCAATTTTTTTCATTAAACTCTGTCCTCAGATAGCGCAAAAGGCGTTTAAGAGAATGGTGTAGGTTTCGCGTTCGTTAAGATCCCGGATTTTTCAAAAATTTCAAAAACGCATTTTTTGGGCGTGATCCTAGAACTATAATACTGACCATTGAGATTTTTCCCTTAAAGAAATGTTGAAGTAAGGTCATGTACAATTTTTTGAAAACATACATAGTTTTCGTGTAATTTTTCCCGATATATAGAAAATATTTATTTTTTTAAATAATGGTTTACTCTAAATCGGCACTAAGTTTTTACATTCTTGTATACGTACTCGTATCTACGCAGTACAGAGAAAGTTATGTTATGCTGCGCGAAAAACGGCAGATTGTCGGCAGAAAAAAATTCATTGCCGGGTCCTAATAACGAAAAAGTGAATAAATCCAGTTGCTAAATTTAAAAAAATCCTCTAACACGTGGTGTAGCCAGAATCCCTATTTAGTGGGTCCTTGACACCGAAAAACTAATTGACGGCAAAATGTCCGTCCGTTTGAACACCACTAGCGTGTAAATCAAACGATTTTTTTTCAAATTGAAGAAACCTCTGTACATCTGGCCCGAGTCGAAGCTCTGAGATTCAACTCAACTCATGTTGCCGTGCAATTTTATTCATTTTAAATTTTATACGAAAGTATTTTTGCTTAAAAGTTTCGTGACAAGTTAAAACTAATAGTTAATTAAACATTTTGGGAAGGAAAATCTCCCTCATTTCCTTCCCCGTGGATCCGCGTCTGATTATTAACACTACCCATGGAAGCAATTTAATTTTTCTTTTGCCGTGATATCCCTAATGGTTTTGAATTACTTCCAGCTCTTACGAAAGTTTTTGCCATA